GGAGGAGCGCAGGAGGACGGCGGCCTCCCTCGAGTCTCGCGATCACGTGGCTGTCACCGGGGCGGAAGTCGCCGGTAGCTCTTTTGGAACGAGGGGCTTGCAAAGCAGTGATGGGAAAGGCGTGAGCTCTGGTGACGCTCGAGTTCAGCGCAGCGGGGACCGCCTCCTGCCAGGCGTTTCTGCACCTTCCCCGCAACGGAGGAACTGGGACCGTGGAGGGGGTGGCGGCTGCCTCGGTAGGCATGGCGGCCGACCGCAGGTCACGTGGCGCGGCGTCCGGGCCCCGGCGCGCGCCGGCCGAGGGCGGGTTTTAAATGCGGAGTCATCGCCCGGGCGGTGAGCGAGGTTGGGCTGCGCGCTCGGGCGCTTTCGCTTGCTAAACTGTGTCCATGTTCCTAACCACGATGAAAGCGGACGTGGGCCCACTTGCCAGAATGAAATACCCCGAAGTCGGCCGAGTCGTTTGTCTCCACCAGTGCAACTTAAAATCTCTCGGGGCTTAAGTGTCTCCAGGGTCTGGCCCCTACTCTTAAATGATTTCTCTGGGTGGTGGCAATGCCGAGAAAAACCAAGCACCCGCTCCCGGATCACGACAGCACGGTCACTTGCCCTCGTTTTTTAAAAATATCGCTGAAATACTGTGACTCCCCATGGCCGGCGCGTACTGACTAAGGTCTGAGATACTCGCCTCAAGCCGCCGGCTCGCGCGGCCTCCGCCGGGGAGGGCTGGCGGGAAGTGTCTATAAATTCGAGCTCATTTGACCTACTTCGCCCGAGCTACACCCGCCTTCACGTCAGCCTGTCACGCGGAACAAAGAACGCTCTGCTGAGAAGGCGCAGCTCACAGTCCCTAATTTTCGTGCCCTTAGGAATTGAGAGACGTGGAATGTAGTCTGGACAAGGGAAAGAATTCATCCTTAAAAGATAAGACAAAATATCAAAGCCCCGTGCTGCTGAAGCCAGATCTGAAGAAGACGGACGGACGTCCTCCTGGAGAGAGGAGCAGATGCGACCGCCAGGCCGCGAAGGACGAGGGCAGAGAGGGCAGAGCCGGAAGTAGTCAGACACGGGCAGTTGTGGACAGGTATAGAGAATATCTATTAACTTGAGATTTCTTTCAATGATCGTTCATTCAACTTTTTTTTTTTTTTCTTCTAATTGATTTCAGGGAGAGGGGGAGAGAGAAACATCGATGGGAGCCATTGCTTGGCTGCCTCCTGCACGCCCCCTGCTGGGCATGCAGCGGGCAACCCCGCGCTGCCCTGCGCCAGGATCGGAGGGAGATCTCCGGTGTCGCAGGTCAGGCGCAACCGCTGGGCCGTGCCCGGGCTCCAGTCAGCTCTTAACACGAGTTTGCTTCTCAGTTCCCTGCAGAGCTGCCTGTTCCTGGGCACTTTTTCAAGGAGCGTTTCTACCAGCGACCTCCCCATGACAGCATCCCTCTTGCTAGGGATCTCCTTCACCCCTCTCCAGAAGAGAAAACACAAGAAGTGCCTGGTGCAGAGCCCCGATTCCTACTTCATGGATATGAAATGCCCAGGATGCTGTAAAATCGCTGCGGTCTGTAGCCCTGCACAAACGGTAGTTTTGTGTGTTGGTTGCTCCACTGTCCTCTGTCAGCCAACAAGAGGAAAGGCCAGGCTTGCAGAAGGATGCACCTTCAGAAGCAAGCAGCACTAAAAGCACCTCAATTCAAGATGAGTGGGGAACCATCCCAATAAATACATTTTGGATTTTTTTTTTTTAAATGCACAGCAAATCATAGTGTTCTTAATATATAAAATTTTGATTCTGTCAACATTTGTAATTCAGTTAATATTCAGCTGACCATCAGCCTGGAAAGTTATACCATTCCTGGTCAATTTCACTGCAGTATTTTAAGAGGTCTTTATGTTACTTCCTTATATATAGGGAGGGTGTCCCCCAAAAATGTATACACACAGTTTGAATAATTATAAAGGCAGTGTTTATTAAAATATATTTCATTTTTGAAATTGAGCTATCAGCTGTTAAAGTGCCTGTGCATTTTTGGAGGACATGGAATCCCTCACCTTCCACTTTGTTTTCTTCCCTACTGATACCATTGTAATTAGCTAGTTATTAGTAATAGGAAAGGAGCAAAGAGGGAAGGTGAGACATTATAGGCATGTCATTTGGGCAGCTTCATCAGAAAGCTGCAACCTTGCACTCCTCAGGGAAACACCAGCATGTTCCCTGTTGATCTCTGGTGGAAGGGAGCCAACAAAGGGAAAACAGGCACATCCTAGTAAAGCTGGGGTAACACAGGGAAGGTACTTGTCTGTCAATCACACGTGGGAACAGAGATGGTTGGCCAGAATGGGTGTGGGCACTGCAAGCCTGCAAAAACTTGGAAATACATAATTACCTAAACAAAAGAATTCTCTCTCTTGTTGATCTTTTGCACTTGGCTTGTGACCCTTGGAACTCTTGGCTCCTTGCATTCTCCCATATCGCCCATGGCCATGTGGACCCCACATGCGATTGGTTGTAGTGGAAAACAAGCTAAGCTGGCCGGATGCTGGACTGGACCTGGCTCCGGCTCCAACATGGAAAGGAACTCGGGACACTAGCCCTAATTTTAGCTCTCCTGAAGCCCCAGCTACACTTCTGTGACTGAAACAAGGAAAATGGGACTTTGGAAACTGGATTTTCAGTTTGTGAACTCATGCTTTGTAGCAGCCATATACTTAAACAGTAATAGTGCTCTCCTTCTTTGTGATGAATTCTTTTTTTTTTTTTAACTTAAAAATGTTTTCATTTAGCAGATTAAAAAGTTACTTCTTTCTCTTAATATTAATATTCTGCCTAAGCATGGAACAGACTGAGAGATATCAGAGGGAAGGCGGGAAGAGATTAACCAAAGAACTTATAAGCATATATGAATAGCCCATGTACACAGACAATGGACAGGCGGGGGCCTAGGGAGGGGTGGGAGATGGGTGGAGGGGGTAAGGGAGGGAAATGGGGGACATCTGTAATACTTTCAACAATAAAAAAAATACATATTCTGCCTAAACACGTGGTAACTTCCAAACAAAAGAAAAGGGAAAATATCACTGCATAAATTTTAATATAATGTAAACAAAATAAACACCAACCCTTATATGTCCAAACATTTGAATGTTTACTGCCCAAATGACTTTAAGCAACAATGCTAAGAAAAAAGAAAATCTACCTCCAGCTATGAAGGCATTTCTCTATGTGAAGGATTAAGGTCTATTGAGGCAGCTGTGAGAATACTTTAGGATATTTTTTACCTAAAAGTTTCTCCACTTTTTTGTTTGTTTTTAATGAAAGAGGTGCTGAGTTTTGTATTTCTTTTTGAATCCCAATCCATGTTTGAGGGATAGTGTTCCCCAAGGGCTGCTTTGGACCCCTTGGTATAACCAACATTGAGGATTTGAGGGGTGTAGGGTATGAAAGAAGAGAGGATGTGGCCATCTAGTGATCCTTTTGTTACTAAATTTAACACACATACCCCCCCAAAAAAGCAAATCTAAAAACACTGCTCATGGAAATTGACTTAAACTAAAATCTCATTATATGAGTGCCCTTCAGCTTCCATATTCTTAAATAATAAGTGAATGAGTAAATAAAGCTAATTATCTGGCATATTTAGGCATCTTGCAGTCTTTATATGTTCAGAAGTATTAAGCACTTTGGAAGATACAAAAGTAAAGAGGAAAGATCTTATGTCTCAAACTTACTTATCCTAGTGAAAGTTCCTATTGTAAAATGTAATGTACAATTA